TGCAGTGTATCTGGACAGTGCAGTACACCTGGACAGTGCAGTACACCTGGACAGTGCAGTGTACCTGGACAGTGCAGTGTACCTGGACAGTGCAGTACACCTGGACAGTGCAGTACACCTGGACAGTGCAGTAATCTGGACAGCGCTATGGGTCTAACTTCAGGACAACATTCACACCACAGAGACTCACACAGCTTGAATGTGAGCCTATCTCGTGACACCCACACACACAGCCAGGGTGGCCTCCCAAATATGGGTCAATTTGTCCTCACAATCAAGGGCCGGGGTGCCCGTATCCCATGAGTCAAAGACTTCATATTTTCTCAGATATGGGGCAGGGTCAATGGTAACTACTTCCACAGAGTTTTTTGTTTTGTTTGAAAGTTGTTCATTCCATAAAGGTAAACTCTAAAAAAGGATGCTCTCCTCTCACTCCGCTGCTATGAGGTGAACAACTGACCCTACCGCATGGTCCTTCCATGTTCCACTTGGTCAGAGGCACAAGTGATGGGGCAGAGAAACCGTGAAGGATAACTTCCAAAACCCTGAGCCAAAATAAGTATTTCCTTTTAATTTTATTACTTTAGTTATTTGTGAAAGAGTGTGGGGTGGGTATGGGTGTAGGTGTGGGTGTGTAAGTGCATGTGGATGTAGGTGCCTGTGAAAGCCAGAAGAGGGCGTCAGATCCCCTGGAGCCAGAGTTAACACGTGGTTGAGCCATCCAACACAGGTGCTAGGAACCAAACTGGGGTCCTCTGCAAGAGTAGTTCGTGCTCTTAAGGACTAAGCCACCTCTCCAGAACTGTTTTTCCTCCTTAAAAGCTGTTCATCTCGTTCTTTCCGTCTCCGGCCGCCGTAGGGACAGGAGCCGCCATGTCCACGCATCTGCAGCGGTTGGTCATGTGCAACTGCTCCAGCTTCCTGCTCAAGAGGAACAAGCAGACCTACAGCACCGAACCCAATAACCTGAAGGCCTGCAACTCCTTCTGCTACAATGGCCTCATTCACCACAAGACTGTGGAGTGGAGCCCGCGGCCAATGTCAAGAGCGTAGTGGTGGTCATGAAACACAGATCCGGTCAGCGAAAACCAGCCACATCTTACGTAAGGACCACCATCAACAAGAATGCACGGGCCACCCTCAGCAGCATCCATCACATGATCCGAAAGAACAAGTACCGCTCCATCTGGGCATGGCGGCCATCCGCAGGGCCAGTGCCATCCTGAGAAGCCAGAAGCCCGTGGTGGTGAAGAGGAAACGCACCCATCCCACCAAGAGCTCCTGAGCCCTACACCCCAGAAGCAATAAAGAGTCCACTGACAACCAAAAAAAAAAGCTGTTCATCTCAAGTACCTGTCTCAGCAATGAAGAGCTGACTCATAAATACAGTCACTATTTGTTATTTGCTTAAAGCTACTGTGGCCTCACCCAAGCCCAGCTGTCAGTCATCTGACAAACTACTACAGAAAAACTAAAAATGTGTGCAAAGCAAACAAACAAATGAAAGCACTAACACTCGGGCTGGAGGTAACCCAGTGGTAGAATTCTTGTAGAGCATAGGTGAGGCCCTGGGTTCAATTCCTGCTACCAAAGAAGAGGAAGAGGAGGAACTCCATAGTCAAAAGAGTGATTATATTCCCTGAGGAGGGAGAATTGCAAGTTCAAGGCCAGCAGAGGCTACAGAGCAAGACAAGAATGGAAGGAATGAAGGAGGATAGAGAGAGGAGATAGACAACCTGAGAATCTGTGGTTTCTACTACAATGTACAATTTCAGAGGTGCGCTGAAATTCCTAATATGAAAACTAGAATCAGGGCTGGTGAAATGACTCAGCAGGTAAATGTACTTGTCATCAAGCCTGATCACTTGTGTTCCACTTGGTAGAGACAGTTCCCACAAGTGTCCTGTGCAAGTAAGCACACACACACACACACACACACACACAAAATAAGTAAATAGAATCAATAAGACAAAAACACAGTCCAATATAAAACTTTAAGGGCAGGGGATGCATACAGGCAATTTTCCAAATAGCCGATAAAAATGAAAGTATAATCAATATCATCAACAGATGAAGAGATTAAAATTAAAGTGACAGGCCGGGCGGTAGTGGTGCATGCCTTTAATCCCAGCATTCGGAAGGCAGAGGCAGGCAGATCTCTGTGAGTTCAAGACCAGCCTGGTCTACAAGAGCTAGTTCCAAGACAGCCTCCAACGCCACAGAGAAACCCTGTCTCAAAAAAACAAACAAACAAACAAAAAACGTGACAGGCAGGCAGTGGTAGCACATGCCTTTAATCCCAGCAGTTGGGAGGCACGGGCAGGTAGATCTATGTGAGTTCAAGAACAGCCTGGTCTACAGAACAGAGCTACACAGAGAAACCCTGTCTTGAAAAACCAGAGAGAGAGAGAGAGAGAGAGAGAGAGAGAGAGAGAGAGAGAGAGAGAGAGAGAGAGAGAGAGAGAGAGAGAGAGAGAGAGAGAGAGAGATGTTGAAGTGACAAAGAGGGTTATTCTACACACAAGACTCAATGGGATGGCATCTTTACAGGATAGCAGGAAGTGGGAAATGACATGTTTGCCCACCATGAAGACAGTGGGGTGGATCCCTGTGGTCCTTTGAGTGAGAATGCCCCCCCATTGGGTCATATGTTTGAATGCTTGGTTGGTGGAACAATTTGAAAAAGATTAGAAGGTGTGGCCTTATCGGAGGTGTGTCACTGGGGGGTGGGCTTTGAGGTTTCAAAAACCCATTCCATCCCCAATTTGCTCTGTGTCATGCTTGTGGATCAGACGTGAGCTCTCAGATACCGCTCCAGCACCATGCCTGCCTCCCTGCTGCTATGCCTCCATGACGGTCATGGACTCACCCTCTGAAACTGTAAACACCAATAAATTCTTTCTTCTATAAGTTGTCTTGGTCATAGCAATTGAAAAGTAACCAAGACCATTCCCATCTCTGAAAGCACCTGGAAAATGTGTAGGCATCTCTGCCAAGCAGACTGCTGTCGTCTAGGGATCCATCCAAGGGACATGCTCAGAGTGGCTCTAGGGAAACCCAAAGATGTTCCTCACAACACTAAAAGCATGCCTAAATAGTTCTTTAGCCATATCCCTGGGTGATGACATTACTGGCTGGATAATTCTCTCCAAATATTGGTAAATTACTTCATAAAGACAATAATTCGGGCCAGGTGTGATGGTCCATGTCTTTAATGCCAGCACTATGAAAACAGGCAAATGGATCTCTGTACATTTGAGGCCAGCCTCATTTATATAAGAAATTCCCCCAGCAGACAGTGAGCCCCACGAAAGAAACAGGGGAGCTAGAGAGATGTTTCAGCCACTAACTGTACTTGTTGCTCTTGCAGAGGAACTGGGTTCAGTTCCCAGCACCACATGGTGACTCACAACTGCCTGGTACTCCAGTTCTGGAGGATCCCATGCCTTTCTTTTGGTATTCCTTAAATACCAGGCAAGCAAGTGGTGTGCTTACACATACATGCAGGCAAAATACTCATATACATAAAGTAAAAGAAATGAATCTTTAAAGGAAAGAAACAAATAAAAGAAAATGAAAAACCCCAGTCATGGAAGCATTAAAATGTCTTTGTGTTTCTTGAACCCCCAACCCCACCCCAATTACCCAAGCTTAGAAGTAATCTTGTGTGTGCGCTAGACATGGCAGCATTTACTTGTAATCCCAGTGCCAGGGAGGTAGGGGCATGGGGATTAGGAATTCAAAACCAGTCTAGGCTAGAGGAGACCCTATCTCAAAAATAAAAAAACAGGTGGTGAGAGGTAAGGGGAGGGAGGAAGGAGCCCTTCTCTGGAACAAAGTCTCTGCTCCAGTCAGATCCCTGGCGCTCACTAACCATTTCATCTGCCCATCAGATAAGGTGGATGCCTAGTGCCCAGAGTGGGCCTGGCTTGCTATCCGACATCGCTATGGACACAGTTATCTCCAGACTTGTCTAAAAAGCAAAAGAAAACTAGGAAGATTTCTGAGTCACATGGGCAGAATGTGCCACAGAGCCAAGGAATTCCACTCTATAATCCTGACTGTGCTGGCAGACTCTATAAGCCTGACTGTGTTGGCAGAAGCCAGTCCTACCCCACCTGTTCCATCAGGCCACAGCCGTGAATGTGGAACAGGTCACCCTGCATGACCCGGGTGTTTGTTTACCATCACCTCCTCAGCCTCAGGGTCCCTATCTCTTAGTGTGGCCTGAGATCTCGCCAAGGTCGGGGTAGGGGACATTGTGAACAAACATAAAATTAGAGGTTTTGGGCACTCCAAAAGGCATGGGAGACACGGAGGACCCTGGCAGAAGGCCCAAGATGTCCAGCGCAGGAGAGCTAAGCGCAATCCCGATCTGGGTGCAAACCGTGGGCAGGGAAGCACACCTCTGTTGGCTTGAGGATGGGGAGGGTAGGGCTGGGCAGATGCCAACCACTCGGAACGAGGGGGGATGCGGGGGGGTGGGGTGGGGCACTGGATCTGGACCAGCACAAGGCAGCTTAAGGAGGTAAATGCGAGGGTCCGGCGGCCCTCCTCCAACTGCCCACGGCCACGCCCCTCGCCGTGGCCAACTTGCCAACGCGCGCGACCTCCAGCACCCCTGGGCTGTGCGCGCTCTCGGCGCCGGGCGCTGCGCCAGGTCCGGGTGGGAGGACAGGAGGGTCCCCGCGCAGGCTCGGACCCCGGCGGGCTCTGCGGCCGCTTCCGCACTGGCCCGTGCGCTCTTCCCGCGTGCCGTGCGTGTCCGAGCGCAGGCACTCGCGGTGCAGGTGGGCGCGCTCTCGCGGGCGGGGGTCCGGCCGGGCCGCGCGCCTCCCCCCGGAACTCGGCCGTGCCATTCCCATGATGCCCAGCCACCGGGCACGGCTTCCGGAGCGCGGCTGCCGCCGCCACCGCCGCCGCGGGTAGGTGGCGGGAGGGACGGCCTGGGGGGGGGAATCGCCCCGCCCCTCGCCGCGCCGGCCCCGCCCTCCCCTCCCGCGCTTCCCACGGCGCGCCGGGCCCCGGGGTCCCCGCGGGACTCCGCGGTGGCTGCGGGCGCCAGACTCAGGGAGGGCGGGGCGCGTGTGTCCGCCTTTCCCCGCGCTCCCGGCCGGGCGCCTCCAGGGACGCGGGGCGCAAGGCGGGCAGCTGGGCCGGGTTCGCCGTGCAGGCCGCGGCGGGCGGACTCCGGATCGGGTCGGCGGCTGGGTCTGGTCGCTGCCATGGGCGAGGGTCGCGGCCCCCGGGAGGCACCTCCCGCGAGTGCCTGGCGCTTGTTGCGCCCTGCGTTCCTCAAGAGCCAGCGGGTGCAGGTCGGGCCCAGGTGAGGCTCAGGTGAGGGGCGGGCTCCGGGTCACCGAGGCCTGCCCGGCCTTCAAGACTGCCTTCGAGGCACCCGGATTCCCTAAACCTGGGATCCCAGAAAATGACTTCGGGGATGGATAGGTGAGGCACAGACCAGCCGGAGGCCCTGCCTCTGCCTGGAGAAGGGTTGGCATTAACCTGCTCAAGACCAGACTGCTACTCCAGCTGCCTCTCAGGCAGCCAGATGAGCAATCAGCGCTCAGGCAACCGTGGGAGTCTGTCTCCGCTTGCCTCCACTCCGCACAGGAGATGACAGACACAACAGTTTTACTGGGGGCTGAATCTTGTCAGCACCGCTGGCTCCTAAGGACCAAATCTTATCCACACCCGCTTCAAGTCGGAATACAGGGCCCTTTGCATCATAACTTAAAGTCAGAGTGGCCATGCTGGGGGGAAGGGACTGATTGTACCTACAGTCACCCTGGAAACCCGATTCCACAGATACCAGTTTAAAACCCCCCCGATCCTGGCTTCAGCTCACATTTCTAACTCTCTACAGTTCATGGTCCTCCAGAATGACAGCTCCCAAGATTGACGTAGACAAGGTAGTTGGACCAACAGCCATTAAGACTGTCGGAGAAGCCCAGCTCTGGGTCCATCGTTACAAGCTGTGAACGGGTGAGTGGAGATAAACTGTCTATCTCCCCAGCTCTGCACCTGGTGTAATGGCGGCTCTCTCGTTAAGACACTAACGTCACTCACGCACACACCCCATGCCGACACACCTCTGGTTTTGTTTGCTTTGGTCCGTTGAGACAGGATCTCAATAGCGGAGATGCAGCCTTTGAACTAGATAAGGAAACAATACTAGCTTGGACTGCTGATCCTCCGGCCTGCACCTGGAATTACAGGCATGCACCACCACACCCTGCTGGGTTCAGACCCTCTCAGTTGAGCTGTGCAAATGTTTTGTGATTTCTGTAGTATTGTTCTAGCATTTTAACAACACCTACAGGAGAGGAAGGTCTAGGTCCCCTAGCCGGTGAAATAAGTCACTTTCTCCCATTGGTTCCCACTGCCCTGTGCCTGTGGGGTGTCTGGGAAGGCAATGTTATTAGAGAGTAGGACTGTGGTGGGTCTGGTAGCTACTACAGGAAAGCCCTCCCCACCCTTCGGCTCTCACCCAGAAGAGTGGCAAATTAGCTACAGTAAATGTAAATGGTGTCTGGGCAAGCTTTCCTGAATTTGAGTCATTCTTTACATTAACAACATATCATGACAGAAAAAAAAATGTATAAGCTATCACCAATTTCTAAACTAGATGTCACCAATTCTTTATAATCCTGGTAGTGAAAACTGATTTGTTTTTATTCATTTATTTATTTATTTATTTGGACAGTTTGGTCTCAGTGCATAGCCCTGACTGGCCAGGAACTCACTATGTGTAGACCAGGTTGGCCTGGAACTCACAGAGATCCACTTGACTCAGCCTCCTAGGTGCTGGGATCAAAAGTGTGCACCACCATGCCCAGCCCTCACAGATGGTTTTAAAAGCTGGTAGGAGAGGCTTTGAAGAGAAGAGGAGCAGTGAAGACCTCATCCCTGAAGCCCTGTGGAACATCAGACTGCACTTGAGAATTTCAAGAAACTGCAGTCAATTTTTGTATATTAGTTTAACATTTGAAGCACACATTGATAATCATCCATGAGTTGCTACTGCATCTGCAGTGACCTCTAATTAGTCACCTGTCCCTCTGAGCAGCTTTTGGTCTAGAGGGTGAGCCCCACCTCTCTGGGAAAGGACTTCAGTAATTATACAGCACATCTTGGCCTGTCAGGAAGGCAACTCCTGATGAAACAGCTCGTGGAGAGGACAGAACACAGAAGCAAGGCAAACAACGGGCCAGGCCTACCATCCCACCTGGGCTAGGAGTGGGGACAACCTTCTGTACCTTCCCTCAGGGGAGCTCAGGTCTCTTGGCCCTTTAGCCTTGTAGGTACTCTCCAATCTCAGGGAGGCAGAAGGGGATCAAAGGAGCCTGGAAGAATTAAGAGCAACACAGAGCAGCTGGTATTTTTCCAAATGACCCTGTGCCTTCGGCTCCTCTTTGTAGTGTTTCTGTAAACTTGTCTTCAGTGTTCTTGACACCACACTAGCTGGACACCTGGCTCTGACCACACAGGCTTGTGTTACCTTTTTCACAGCGTCCTCTCCATCCGAGCTGATAAACCCATGATCTGTGTACATGCCACACAGTCCTTTCTCCAAAAAGATGTAGCCTGCCACTAGACCCAGGCCCACCCATATGATGTTGTGACCACCAAAACAATGGGTCAGCTTTCATGCTGAGTAGCAAAATTTGATGTCAGCCTAGGAAAATCATCTGTCACATATTTGACATTTTCATATACAACAATGTAGTGAAAACAGCTCTGAAGAAAAGCTTGAGGAAGTGCTTTTGGGGTCCTTCACTAGGTGCAGCTTTGGTTAAAGAGCATATTGGTCATCCCCAGAAAGAATACACCTACAGCCGGGTGTTGGTGGCCCACGCCTTTAATCCCAGTACTCAGGAGGCAGAGGCAAGCAGATCTCTGTGAGTTCGAAGCCAGCCTGATCTACAGAGCAAGTTCCAGGACAGGCTCCAAAGCCACAGAGAGAAACCCTGTCTCAAAAAACAGCAACAACAACAAAAATAAGAATCTACCTATGAAGTCCGACTTCCCTGGGCATGTGGATAGTCACTCTTTTTAAAACAGAGAGGCATTTATAGACTGCTGTGACATCTCCTGACGACACTGGGAGGTAAATGACATCTTTTGTCCTTTTACAGAAAAGGTGAAAGCCTGGAGGGGAAAGGAATTTGCTTTGGAGGGGAAAGGAAGTGCTGCTGGAATTTGCAAGCTTTTTTCCCCCTGAGTCTTCCGCCTACAGGATGGAAGTGACTCCTAGTACTACTGGCAAAGCTGAGGTCTGAGAGACAGGCTTGCATGAGCCTCCCCAGCCAAAGAAACATCAGGTTGTAGCCCCAGGTGTGTTATCTCTTATGGTGGTTTGGGTGTTTGCTGATACTGCCAGTTAGCGATAGCCTTCATTATGTTTTCTTTGCTCCCAGGATGTGAAATGGGCTGACCCATAAGCCCTGCCTCCCAGCACCCAGCCTGCCTGCTAGGATGTTCCTCATGAACGCCCCTCCAGTGGTGGCGCTCCAGTCCAGATGGGAGGCCTTTGGCCAGCCCAGGAGCTTCTGCTTTCCTGACTGCTTCTCCGAGTCTAAAGAGGACACCTCCAGGGCCTCAGTGAGTGCCAGGGTACAGATGCTCATCAGCACACTGCAGAGAGACAAGGCTGCCCTGGGCATGAGCCATGAGCATGCCACACAGAGAGGCCAACGCGCAGAAAGGTGCCGAGACACCAGACTGGCTCCTAATCCCGTCGTGTGCAGAGAGCAGCCAGAGTTCCATGCCTGTGGTCTTGTTGCAGACTGCAGACCCCTAGAGAAAGATGAAGCTGGGAGACGTGGTCCCTTGGAGCTAGATTCTGACAGTGATGACTCCGTGGACCGGGACATCGAGGAAGCTATCCAAGAGTACCTGAAGGCAAAGGGTGGGGCTTCTGAGCCTTTGTCCCGAGGAGCCCCCTGTGTCCCAGAGCCTGCCCACAGCTGTCCCCTACCCATCCCATGCCCGCCACAACTCACTCCCGGCTCAGATAGTGTTCCTGTGGGAACCAGTGAGGACCAGGGCTCCACCTCCCCAGCTAGCATGAGCAGCGAGGACTCCTTTGAGCAGAGCATCCGAGCTGAAATAGAACAGTTTCTTAATGAGAAGAGACAGCATGAAAACCCAAAGTGTGATGTGTCTGTGGATAAGAAATCAGATCCAAAGGAAAGCCCTGCCAGACTTAGAGGGAACCGAGAGACCTCAGCCAGGACAGCTCTGGTAGGAACCTGTAAGGAGTTCATCTTCCGCAAACCTCCCAGGTTAACAAAGATGAGCGTGCAGCCCAGAAACTTGCGGCCTAAGGTCACCGCACAGCCTGAGAGCCCAGTGAGCACGAGGCTGACTGTCCACAGACCAGAGGCTGCACACAACAGGGGTGGGGTAAGGAGGAGCATGCCTGCCAGGCGCAGCAAGCGCATCAGGAACTCAGCCCCAGTGCATCAGACATCCGACTCCAGCAGTGATGATGGCATCGAGGAGGCCATCCAGCTGTACCAGCTAGAGAAAACCAGGAATGAGGCCAGTGGGGACCCACCTCTGAGAGCCCAGCTGAAGGAGGACAGCCCTGGCAGTTCTCAACCAAGTGCCTTGCCTGAAGCCCACAGGAGACCCCCAAGCAAGAAAAAGCTAACAGCCCCAAAGGTTATGAGCACCACCCTGGGGGATCTCCACCCTGACCCCCTCTCCAAGCTCCCAAAGGATGTGAGAACCTCCGTGCTTCCAGGACACACAGCTGCCAAGAGCGAGGCTGTGCCCCAGGCCACGCCATGCCTAGCAGACACATCCACCGAGCTGATGTGCGCGGAAGCAATCCTGGACATTTCCAAGACCATACTGCCAGTCCCCATGGAAGGCAGTGACAGGCCTCCGTCCATGAACCCACTCTTCTGTCCCCCACCCATACCTCCCCGCTCCGAAGGTGACAGCAGCAACATTGACAGTGATGATAGCATAGAGCAGGAGATCCGGACATTTTTGGCCCTCAAGGCACAAGTAGGGAGTCCACAGCCTCCCCAGGGCCCACTGTCCCCACCCGGCCCCAGTGGCCAGACCGGCATCCCCAAGGCATCTCTTGCTAGCAAAACACCAGAATTTCCCCTGGGCTGCAAACGGAAACGGAGAGGTGGAGGTGGCACTATAGTGCCCAAGAAAATACAGGAGGGTAGAGAAAGTGCCCAGGACAGTAACCACATCCAGGGCAAGGGTCAGCCTGGCCACGATGGTTGGGACCCTCCCAGCCAGAGCAAAGTCCCAGAGGCCCTAGGAGGGGAGGCTGAGGCCAAGGACCAGCCCGTCCCTTCCAGGACAGCTGGGCTCAGTGATGCACACCTGTCACAAGGCCGGGGGAGCCTCGGGAAAGCAGGGGAGGGGAAGAGTGCTGGTGAGAAGGAGAGCTCTGAGGATAAGAGCAGCTCCCTGGACAGCGACGAGGACCTGGACATGGCCATCAAGGACCTGCTCAGATCTAAGCGGAAGTTCAAGAGGAGGAGCAGAGAACCCCGGGCTGTGTGTAAGAAGGTCAGACTCGGCACCACGGAGGCTCGGTGTGGAGAGAAGCTGAGCAGCCTCCCCGGGGACTGGAAGGACCACGGGCAGCAGGCACCACGGAGCTGTCTGTCCAAGTGCAGAGCGGACAGTAAAGACAGCCCAGGAAGAAGCCCAATGAGCATTTTCGGCAGTGCGGCCGAGAAGGCGAAGCTGGGTGGTGCAGGTGGTGAGGATGCAACCCCGGCCTTGCTTCCCAGGAAGAAGAGTCCAGAAGGGACTCCTCCTTCTAAGGACACAGGAGTCAGCGGTCGCCTTCCTTCTGCCTCCATCCCCCTGTCTGAGGAGGACAGCTCAGTGGACAGTGATGACAGCATCGAGCTGGAGATCAGGAGGTTTTTGGCGGAAAAGGCCAAAGAGTCTGTACGCAGTTCAGAACCTCAAGGGGGTCCTGCCAAGCCAGAGGTGCCATGCAGGAAAGAACCAACCCCGGGCTTACAGCCCGGAGTGTGCACACGGAGCCAAAAAGCCAGGGGAATCCCTCAGCTGGCCGAAGGAAGGAGAGGCACAGAGAGATCTAGGACACAGGCAACCAGCCCCTTAAGCCAGACTGGGAAGGGCACCCCCCGTGCTGAGCAGGCCACCCGTCTCCCCACTGCCCTGGGCCGAAGCGAGCCAGCACTGCCCAAGAACACCAGCAGGAACATTTCCGCCAAAGTGTCTCCACCAAGCAGGAAAAGTGCCAGTGTTAACAAAGACCAGAGCCCACGAGGAACGCAGGCTGCCTTGCCAGAAAGTGTTTTTGGTCAGCTGCCCAGTTGTGCCAAAGTGGGTGCTGAGGCCGGAAGTACCGGGGGGACATTTCACCTGAACTATGGCAGTCAGAACCTGCTGGCCCCCAACCCTGGACCCCAGGCTGACCTCACCGTCCCCTGGAGTGACTTTGCACACCAGAGTAGGCTGTCCAGCCCATGGGCACTGAATTCCGGACAAGGCACACTATGGACAGGGGTCTTTGGGGGTGAGAAAGAAAAGGGGGTCACACCACAGGCCGGGGGCCCACTAAGCCTCTCCTCAGGCCCCAGGAAGGGCCTGCCTTTCCTCTCCACCCAGCTCTTCCACTTCGGGAGGAGTGTCTCCTGGGGGGGCAAGCAGGCTGGCCTCTTCAGCCCCAACCTAGGCCTACCTCTGCAGGGCCCAGCATTCTCGGCCTTCAGGGAGACCCAGCCCGGCCACAGCCCTGTGTTTGGAAGCCCGCACTTGCTTATGAAGGACAGTGGGCACTGGCCAAGCCGGAAGGCTCAGGGATCCCTGAGACAGCAGAACAGGAGGAATTCTGGCTCTGAGGACAATGTCTTAGACCTGAGATATCGACACAGGGTTGACAGGGAACACCAGGACCAGGAGGCCTTGGGCAGTGATGCCAGCGAATTCAGTGACACCTCTGTGGAGGATGGCGTCAGCGCCATAGTGAGCAGCAAAGGCCTCTAGCTTTGACAGGCATGTCACTCTCTTGTCATAGCTGTGGGAAGTGCGTGCTCTCCTCTCTCTCTCTCTCCCCCTCCCTCTCCCTCCCTCCCTCTCTCCCCCTCCTCTCTCTCTCCCCCTCTCACTCCCTCCCTCCCTCTCTCCCTCTCTCCCTCCCTCTGTATGTGTGTCTTGGCAGCATAGGGTGGGGGTAGGGGATACTGACCATTAAAGAGCAAAAAGAAGGGTCCCTCCTGTGCAGCCCCCTGTATAAATATGTACACTAACCTCAAATGACATTTTTATTTAATGGATGTGTCCTGGTACATATGTTTTTTTGTAGGGTTTTTGTAAATTATTTAAAGTAGTGCAAGAAACACTTTTTGGAAAATGTTGTTCGATCTTGCAGGGTGTTCCTAGCTCTGGGATTCTCTGTGGTCTCCATGCATGTGTGTAGATGAGCAAACGCTGTCCCTGTGGGTCAGACACAGAGGATGGATCTGTGGCCATTGCTGGCTCAGCTATTCAGGCCTGGAGACAGCAGCGGCTGTCCACCTCAGAAGTGCTAATATGGCTGAGGTGTGTCAGGATGCCCCTGGGACAAGGGTGCTTCACGAAGGACTCTGGTCCCTGGCCAGAGACTGTCTCTGCCTCCTGTAGCCATGGCCTGTAATTAGAAAGCACTTCAAAGCACAACAGCCAGCAGATAGCCGGCCAGTCATCCCTCCCTATCTAGGGTGGGAATCTGACTGCTGGCTCTGCAGCTTAGCTGAACCCAGATCGTCCAGTGTCCAGTTGCTGGGGCACTCTAGCATCCGTATGAGCCTCTTTATGGGAGAGCTACCGATTTGCTTTTATTCGTGGCTCTAAAGGTGATTCCATATGTCCGTGTTGACTGTCCTCTTCTTGCTGTATGTATGAGTGAGTCGTGAGGCCATGAAATGGCGTGGTCCCTGAATACCTTAGCCACCTGTGATGGTGAACCCAGGCCCCGTAGGACTCAAAGCCCAGCTTTATGTGACCAATGACAACACCAGCAGCCTGCATGGCTTTCTAAACCCTGCCTCTATCCAGGAGGAAAAGGGGCCTGGCCAGCGCTGAGGCTAGGCCATAGGCAGCAGTTTGAGGTCCTGGGAATTAGCCAGAGTGATACTGCCTTGGTGCCGAGGTGCCGGTGGTAACCGGGGGCTGAAGATGTCCTGGACCCCAGATGTGAGCGCTACATCTGTGTCGTGATTATCACCTGCCACCCCTGAGTTCTGCAGCTCAGTATACCGGGTTGCTGTGGCTCTACTTTACGGCTGAGTTGTTGATTATTCTAACATTTTAATATGGAAGTTGAGTCTTCTACTTTATGCACCTGGGTCTTAATTGTAATTCACTTCCGTACCCAAATGCAGACACACACTCCCACCATCCTCAGTGCCCGCCATGTCAGAGCTGTGACGTGCACAGGTCCCTGTGGTCCTGTCTTGCCCCTGAATGATCTTGATCTTGTATAATAAATCCCATGTGCATATTATATGTGTTCATGTGTTTCTGGAAGGAACAGCTTTGTGTCATCTGTGTTCCCACTTTAAAGTTTTAAAGAGTGCTTTTAACCCTTGAAAACAAAAAGCGTCTTGTTTTGTATGTAAGACCCATTGGGTTTTTGTTTTTGTTTTTCTAATAAACCAAGTACTAGCCACAAATGAGTTTGTCCTTTGTTTGGGGGGAGGTCTACAAACATAATCTGGCCTGGGTGGAGTGATGACATCACCACCAAAGGAAAGGAGCTTCACCCTGCAGCACAGTGCCTCTCGGTCCCATCCCTGCTCCCCACCTGTGGATGGCACTGGTCCAGGCTCCTGAACCCAGGAGCAGTAATGCTTTCCTTCCAAGTTTGCTGTGCTGTGTGCAACGGCAGCTGCTCCCGATTCTGGGAAGGACAGCACCCTTTGACCGAGGGCTGTGCCACCCATCAGCTATGGCCAGCAAGTCCCACACGCACACTCATGTCTTAGTTTCTTGTCCCTGTGACAATATACTCCTAACAACATGATGAAATGCCCTTGGCAAAAGCAACTTCAGGGTTGATTCTGATACAATCCATCACTACAGGTAAGACGAGCTGAAAGTAGCTGGTGACATCACATCCACAGTCAGGAGACAGAGACAAATGCCCCTATGGTGGTGTTAGTGGCTTCCAGAGAAGCCTGATGGGGCTGGCTTGCTCTGCCTCGGTATGTGTTGCCCCTGTACGTTCTGGTCCAAAACGAGGACCTTGCAGATGCCCAGGAGATGTCAGGTCCTTGACATGGAATTCATAGTGTCTAGAACCCTGATCCACATAAACCTCCATTCTATATAAATTACAAGCCTCAGGTAATTTGTTACACCAACAGAAAATGTAGTGAGACTATCAGGTGGACCACATGATGAAAAGTATTTGGGCTTTTTGTCTTTCCAGACACTTCCTCTATTTAACATGCGGCATCTACTTTTGTACTCTCATCAACTCTCCCAGGAAAAGCATTTTATTGAACATAGCCAATTAAAGTAATTCAGTGCCCAACTGCAGTGCCAAAATGAAACCCACACAGCCCGAAGTCAGACTTGGTCCCTCTGCCAACCCACATTCTGTTTGCCAAGTGACAATTCTGGCCCAGGCCCTATATTGCCCCTGGGCTTGGAAGTGGGGACTGTCCAGCACACAGGTTTTCTCAGATGTGCCTATTGCTCTGACAAACCTGCCCCATCACATGGCAGGACCAGAGCTTAGTCCCCCTGGCTCTTCCTGCCGAGGCGCTGTCCACCTGCTCTTCAGGGTGGCTGCTATGGAGGCCTTCCCTCTTTGCAGCACGTGGTTGGTGGGGCTTTTTTCCTTTCAACAGAAGGCAGAGGGGAGTTGAGGATGTAGCTCGGCTGAATTTGATCCCCAGCACTGCATAAACCAAGTGTGAAAGCGTTTGCCTGTCATCCCAGCATCAGGAGGTGGAGAAAGTCAGAAGTTTAAGGGAAAGTTTAAGGGAAAGGGGAGAGGCTAAACACAAGACCGGTGGCATTTAGGAATATTTTTAATGATTGTTAACCCCTTTTCAGCAAGACATGGTGGCTCACACCTTTAATCCCAACACTCTGGACACAGTCAGGTGATCTCTGTAAGTTCAGGGCCAGCCCTGTTTACACAGTTCCAGGACAAGCTAGGGCTATGTAGTGAGACCCTGTCTCAACAAGCCACAGGTGCATTAATTCAGGAGTTGGAGAGATAGATGGCTCAGCAGTCAAGGACTGCTTTTATTGAGGACCCAGGTTCAGTTCCCAACACCCAAATCCGGTGGCTCACAGCCTCCGGTAACTCCAGTTGCCGGGGCTCCTCTTCCGCCATCTTCGGACACTAGTGTGGCACATGACAAACCCGTAAGGGCACACACACGTACACAGGTAATAAGCTAAGATTTTTTTTGTTTATCTTGTTTTGGCTATTCGTGTGTTAACTACATCTGGAATGAACTATGGAGGGCATACCTGTGAGAGATTTTTTTTTTTGCCCGATTTAAAGTGGGTGAATCCACTTCTAGACTGGATCTTTGAAGTATAAAGACACACATCTTTGACCAGGATCTTGAGGGGGGGAAGACTTGCCTTTAATCTAGGCCACACCTTCTGCTGGAAGCCCATATAAGGACATGAAGAAGGAAGCTTTTGCTCTTTGCCTGCCTGCTAACACTCCTTCACTGGCATGGGAGCCCACTTCTTCAGGATTCCAGCATATACCGAAGACCAGCTGAGACACCCAGGCTTGTGGGACTGAGTAACTACTAGATTCTTGGACCGTCTGTTCACAGCTAGCCATTGTCGGGCGAGCTGGACTGCAGCCTGTAGCCATTCTAATAGATCCCCTTTATATAGTGAGATTCCTTCCATAAATTCTGTGACTGAGCCCTGAATAATACACACATGTATAGATGTTTTGTATGCATGTATGTCTGTGCACTGCATGGTGCCCTCAGAGGGCCGGAGTTACTGACAATTGTGGCTCACCAGGTGGGTGCACTGGGAACTGAATCATGTCTTCTGAAAGAGTAGCCAGTTCCCTTAACCACTGAGATATCTCTCCAGACCCTAAATAAAAATAATTTCTTTTTGGAGACAAGGTCTTTCTATGTAGCTCTGACTATCCTAGAGCTGGCTACATAAACCAAGCTAGCCTCAAACTCACAGAAATCTGCCTACCTTTGCCTCCCTAGTGCTGGAATTAAAGGCGTGTACCACCACTGCTGACATCCCTAAATTGATCTTATAAAAATGCCAGATGTGGTGGCGCATGCCTTTAGCCCCAGCACTTGGGAAACAGAGGCAGGTGAATCTATGTTGTTCAAGGACAGCCTGGTCTACAAAGTGAGTTCCATGACAGCCAGGGCTACACAGAGAAACCTTATCTTGAAACAACAAAAACAAAAAACAAAAACTTTTCAGTTGGACACCCAGCCTGCTAGTTTTCTACCACAGAAGAGCAGTCTGTAGATTCTGGCTTCAGCCTTGAGTCACAGCCTTTTAATTAAACAATTTATTTTTTTCTAGAAAGCATTCCCACTCCAAATGAGACATTAAGACTGCTGCCAGATGTTTACTTTGTGCATTAGTGATGCTGAAGGGAAAAAAAAACAGGGTGTTTAGTTTCTGTGAACAAAGCGTTAATGACAATGTGTAAAGACTGTCTTCTTTCTGGTCTCAAAAAAAAAAAAAAAGGAAAATCAGGTCAGGTGGTGGTGGTGCACATCCTTAACCCAGCACTTGCGAGGCAGAGGCAGGCAGATCTCTGTGAGTTAGAAGCCAGCCTAGTTTACAAAGAGAGTTCTGGGACAGCCAAGGTGGTTAACACACACACACACACACACACACACACACACACACACACACACACACAAACACCCCTATCTGGAAAAAACAAAAATCTAAAAGAAATCAAAACAAAACAAACAAACAAAAAAACAGCAGGGCTTTGGTGGCGCACACCTTTAATCCCAGCACTCGGGAGGCAGAGGCCAGCCTGGTCTACAGAGTGAGTTCCAGGACAGCCTCCAAAGCCACAGAGAAACCCTGTCTCAAAACAACAACAACAACAACAACAAAGGGCTGGAGAGATGGCTCAGAGGTTAAGAGCACTGACTGTTCTTCCAGGGGTCCTAAGTTCAATTCCCAGCAACCTCATGGTGGCTCGCAGCCATCTGTAATGAGATCTGGTGCCCTCTTCTGGCCTGCATGGATACACACAGACAGAACACTGTACGTTTTTTTGGGGGGGAGGCGTGTTTCGAGACAGGGTTTCTCTGTATTGTTTTGGAGGCTGTCCTGGAACTTGCACTGTAGACCAGGCTGGCCTCAGATTCACAGAGATCCACGTGCCTCTGCCTCCTGAGTGCTGGGATTAAAGGCGTGCGCCACCAACGCCAGGCTAACACTGTGAACTTAATAAATAAATAAACCTTTAAAAAAAATCCAGAGTGAGAGATGGCTCAGTGGATAAAGTATTTGTCACACAAATCTGATGACCTGAGTTTGGAGCCAGGCACAGGGACATGCATCTATAACCATGGCACTAAAGGACAGGTGCCAGTGGATCCCCAGGGTTCGCTGGCCAGTCAATCTAACCAAAACTTCAGGCTCCAGGTACAGGGAGGGACCCTGTCCCAAAACACATAGTGGTGAGCAATAAAGGAAGACATCTGATGTCAACCTCTGGCCTATGACATGCACACCTGGCAGAGTCCAGCCACACATATGCACACACAGGTTCAGGAGTACACAGACATTAAAATATAATAATAATTTAGATAAACAAGATGGCTAACAGGGTAAGGTATTTACTGCCAAGCCTGATCCATCCCCCCCCCCCAAAAAAGAGCAAAAAGAAACTAAAATGAGAGCTGGAGAGATGGCTCAGTGGCTAAGAGCTCATACTACTCTTATAAATGACCCAAGTTCCGGTCCCAGTACCGAGATGAGACACAGTTCACATTTCCTGTAACTCCAGGCAATCTGACATCCTCTCCTGGACTCCCAGGTACACACACACACACACACACACACACACACACACACAATTTAAAACTAAAATCTTTAAAAAATAAAATAAATGGGGGGAGGGCACGGGAGGAGGGGAGGGAATGGAAGAGGGACCTGGAACTGACTTGTGAAGCAACCTCGTTTCTTATCTAAATTTAAACTGGAAAATAAAATAAAAAAGAATACTAATTTAAAAAAATAAATAAAATAAAATAAAATGATCAGAGAGAACCTTTGTGTAAACCTAAGTATTTCCAATCTTGGAAGCTAAGTGAGGTCAGACCTGAACGGTACTTGGATGGGAAACCTCCACAGTTACCAACAATGACTATCATTGTCAACCTTGGTGCATGGCATATGGCCCTCCCCTGACCCTCGCTGTGCACTAGCAGTTGGAGCACCCCACACTCTCTGGGGACCTTCTATGGTCACACACATGGCAACAGCTCTCAAATAAAGACATTTTGTGGCACTCCTTGGCACACCCTACACTGCAGATTAAGATTTGGGTTCCAAGATGTGCAGTTCCCTGCTGTTCCAGGACAAATATGAGACAAGTCAGAAATCAAGGCTGTGACAACTTTTTTTAATAGAAAACCCAACCATCATCATCTTTCCTTCGTAAAATTCAGAATGAAAGACA